CGGGGATAGGGATGGGCCACAATGGGGTGTCGAAAATTTTACATAGGAACAAATAGGAAAATATCCTCTTCTCAAGAACTGAAAATCATGTTTAGTCATTTTGATATGGAAGCATCCTCAGATAGTGTAAATTCAAATTCGTTCAAATGATGACCCCCGGGGTGGGGCGGGGCCCAATCGGGGATCGAAAGTTTTACATAAGAACATGCAGAAAAAATATTTCTTCTCAAGAACAGAAAAGCTATGTTTAGTCATATTGATATGGAAGCATCCTCAGGTAGTGTAGATTCAAGTTTGTTCAAATATTGACCTCTGGGATAGGGAAGAGCCACAATGGGGGATCAAATTTTTACAAAGGATTATATTGGAAAAATTTTTCAAAATTTACTCAAGTACAACAACGCCATTTGTTATATTGACATGAAAGCATCATCAGGTATCTCTCTCCCCCCCCCCCCCGTAACCTTTTCAATACTGAACTGATTTGTGGTTTTGCCTAGCCAATGTGCTCAGGTGAGCAATGTGGCCCATGGGCCTCTTGTTGTTTACTGCTAAAAGAAATCTATGAGAGGGATAATATTGTTTTTATTGTTAAAGTCTGATGAACATAAATTAAAGTCAAATGAGCTTACATTAGATATGAACATTGTACTTGGATTTTGATTTTTGATCATTGATATCATAAGAAAATACCAGTTGATAAATATATCCATTTGATGTGTTATATTGTTTACATTTGTACTTCTGAGCCAAGGGCTGAAAGAGCTAATGCTATATCCATTTGTGCGGTGTGCGTTAACTTTCTAGAATATGGGCCATAACTCAAGAACCCCTTTGCCAATTATTGTCAAATTTGTCGCAGGGTATCCTTGACCGAAAGACTCCCGTTTATATTAAATCTAGGGTTGTGACCCTTAAACAAAGAGAGATAATTTGGTTAATAAAACCAAAAGTACTGGTTGCTAAAAATCTCAAAAAACCACTGGGCAGATTATCACCAAACTTACACATTAGGTTGAGGATATGCTGTAGATTAAAATTTGCAAGGGGAATTGCCCTGGGGCAAAGGCATGATCTCATGGTCACATCAAAGTTGACCCAAAATTACATTTTATTAAAATGTTAATATTTTGCTTACTGCAAGGTCTACGATCATTAGTCTTTATATGTTGATGCATCTTGGGTCATCGAAGTACGTCAATTAAAAGAAGGTCACCTTGACCTACTTTTTAGGTCACCTGAGTCACTCAGGTGACCTATTGCTATCTGTTCTCGTCCGTCGGCGTGCGTCGTGCGGTGTGCGTCGTGTGTTAACATTTGAACATTTTTAGCTTCTTCTCTGAAACCGCTTAAGCAATTTCAACCAAATTTGGCATATAGCATCTATGGGTGAAGGGGAACAAAAATGGTGAATTTCATGGTCCTTGCCCCCCTGGGACCTGAGGGGTGGGGCTAAAACCACTGAAAATAATACAATCTTTAAAAATCTTCTTCTTTACTCCAGGACATCAAGCAGTCAAACTGTTGGCATCATAGTAATAAGCATTGAGCCCTCTACCAAAATTGTGAAATTCATGGCCCCAGGGTCAGGGGTTCTGGTGTTGGGGGGGGGGGGGCTCTATTGATTGTATAGTAGAATTGCAGTAATTCTATGAAAATCCTTTTCTGTGCTCCTGGTTATTAAATAAAGTAACTAAGTACATAGTTATGAAGAGCAAGAGTGCCTCTTCCGAAATTGTGAATTTCATGGCCTCAGGGTCAGGGGTTGTGGTGTTAGTGTGGGGCTCTATTGATTATATAGTAAAAATGCAGTAATTCTATGAAAATCCTTTTCTGTGCTCCTGGGTATTAAATAAAGTAACTAAGTACATAGGTATGATGAGCAAGAGTGCCTCTTCCAAAATTGTGAATTTCATGGCCCCAGGGTCAGGGGTTCTGGTGTTGGGGGGGGGGGGGCTCTATTGATTGTATAGTAGAATTGCAGTAATTCTATGAAAATCCTTTTCTGTGCTCCTGGTTATTAAATAAAGTAACTAAGTACATAGTTATGAAGAGCAAGAGTACTTCTTCCAAAATTGTGAATTTCATGGCCCCAGGGTCAGGGGTTCTGGTGTTAGGGCGGGGCGCTATTGATTATGTAGTGAAAATGCATGAATTCTTTGAAAATCTTCTTCTCTGCTCCTGGGTATTAAATAAAGTAACTAAGTACATAGTTATGATGAGCAAGAGTGCCTCTTCCGAAATTGTGAATTTCATGGCCTCAGGGTCAGGGGTTCTGGTGTTAGGGCAGGGCTCTATTGATTATATAGTGAAAATGCAGTAATTCTATGAAAATCCTTTTCTGTGCTCCTGGTTATTAAATAAAGTAACTAAGTACATAGTTATGAAGAGAAAGAGTACTTCTTCCAAAATTGTGAAATTCATGGCCCCAGGGTCAGGGGTTCTGGTGTTGGGGGGGGGGGGGGGCTCTATTGATTATATAGTGAAAATGCATTAATTCTTAGAAAATCTTTTCTGCTCCTGGGTATTAAATAAAATAACTAAGTACATAGTTATGATGAGCAAGAGTGCCTCTTCCAAAATTGTGAATTTCGTGGCCCCAGGGTCAGGGGTTCTGGTGTTAGAGGGGGGGGGGGGCTCTATTGATTATATAGGGAAAGGGCATGAATTCTTTCAAAATCTTCTTCTCTGCTCCTGGGTATTTTTCAAACAAAGGAACTGCATGGTTATGATAAGGAAGAATGCCTCTTCCAAAATTGTGAAATTCATGGCCCCTGGGTCAGGGGTTCGGGGGGGGGGGGGGGGAGAGCTCTATTGATTACATTTATATAGTGAAAATGCTTAATTTCTTTCAAAATTTTTTATCTACTCCTGGTTATAAACTAAAGAAACAAGTGTATAGTTATGATGAGAAAGGGTGCTTCTTCCAGAATTGTGAGTTCGTGGCCAATGGGTCAGATGTTCTGGTGTAAGGATGGGGCTTTATTTATTTAATAATATGGTGAAAATGCATTTCTTTGAAAATTGTCTATGCTTCTTTGGATGTTCAAGACAAACAGAGTAAAAGTTTTAATATGCAAGGGTATTTTTACCAGAATTTTGAACACCTGGACCATTTAGTCAAGTTTTCTGGTCCTGGCCAGGGCTCTATTAACTTGTATTCTACTGAGCAAAGTTATTCCCCTTCATTCACCTTTGATAATTAATCAATTTACATAATGTATTTGAAAGCTTAATAGAATAAGAGAATTATGCAAGAAAATTTATTGTATGATAAAAAAAGTACTTTCATAGTTTTAATGACTTGGAAATAATAGATGAATAAAAATGAGACAAAAATAACCTATCTTTTTAAATGTTCTTCAACGGCCAAGAGAGGCCATTGTGAGAAGGAATAATATGGGGTTGAATAATAGACATTTTGTTAATAGTCTGCATGGGAATAGTGATAAATGGGGGGGGGGGGGCAGATAGATACTAGACCAATTATTTTGTTGATGCTAATCATACTATTTTCTTGCTGTTGGGCAACAAAGCTTCATTTATCAGTTTATGGATCCTCTAAATTGTTGTATTGTACTCAGGTGACCGTTAAGGCCCTTGGGCCTCTTGTTGAATTTTATGGCTAATCTTTTAAAAACATTGAATTTCATTAATTCGAATGCTGAGAGGTTTAGAATCATTTAATCTTGTAAGATGATGCAGCTTGGCGCCATGAAACAAATTTATGAAAAAGTAGGTCACCTTGACCTACTTTTTGAACTTTGCAGGCATTCGATTTCAAAGCGTTTTAGAGGCATATTTTGGACATTTCAAGGCCTATGATCATAAAACTTTGTAAGTTGATGCATCTTTGGTCCTCGAAAAACGTCAACTGAAAAGTAGGTCACCATGATCTACTTTTGAAATTTTTTTGTTATATTTAAATATTTTGAGTACTATTTGGTTTGGAACCATCAAACTTTTTCAGTTGATGCATCTTGGGTCTTTGGAGTAAGTTAACTGAAAAGAAGGTCACCATGATCTACTTTTGAAATTGTATGGCTTTATTTAAATTTCAGGTACTATTTGGTTTTGAATCATCAAACTTTGTCAGTTGATGCATCATCGGTCCGCAGAGTTAGTCGACTAAAAAGTAGGTCGCTGTGACCTATTTTTGAAATTTTATGGCTTTATTTAAATATATCAGGTACTAATTGATTTAGAATCATCAAATTTTGTAAGTGGGTGCATCTTTTGTCCTTGGAGTTTGTCGAATATGTAGATCACTCTTAACTTCTCTTGGAATTTTAAGGCTATATTTGAATAATTTCATGTACTTATTTGCTTAGAGTCATCAAAAATTGTTGGTTAATGTATCTTGGATGTTAGGAGTACGTCAACTAAGAAGTAGGTCACTGTGACTTGATTAAATATTTTTTTCAGGTACTAATTGGCTTAGAATCATCAATCTTTGTCAGTTGATACATCTTGGGTCCTCAAAGTATGTCAACTGAAAAGTAGGTCACTGTGACGTACTGTTGAAATTTTATGGTTATAATTAGATATTTTTAGGTATCAATTGGCATAGAATCATCAAACTTTGTCAGTTGTTGCATCTTGGGTCCTCAGAGTATGTCAACTGAAAAGTAGGTCATTTTGACCTACTTTTGAAATTTTATGGCTCTATATAAATATTTCAGGTACTGTTTGGCTTAGAATCATCAATTTTAGATAGTTGCTGCATCTTGGGTCCGCAGAAAATGACAAATGATAAATAGGTCACCATCACCTATCTCAGGTGCTAATTGACTTGGAATCATCTTGGGTTCTCAGAGTGTTTTATATAAAATGACCTACTTTCTGAATTTAAGGGCTTTATCTAAATATACAGGATACTTAGAGGCTTCAAATAGAAGTGATAGGTTGTACAATTTATCACAAGCGCATTTCAGGGCCCTTGGGCCTATTGTTCTAGATAACTGCTTCAACAGTTTCATGATATTTTTTTAATATTGCAGATTCAGTATATGTTATACATCAGAGAGAAGCATGATGCTTGATTTTGACTGTCTATTTGAAAGGCACCAATACTTTATATTTCCATTACGGCACTCTTCAAATTAGAGGGGCGTTTAGTAGGGTCTCCTGGGACAAAATTTGGCTGTGATGGCGTCTAACTCTGTAAATTATCGGAGTTTACAGTGCACCGATCTGAAGAATATATTGAAATCGAAAGGTTTTCCGTCTTCTAATAGAAATAAGCAAGACTTGGTTGATTTATGCGAGGGAGCAGAGGCGTTTAATTTGCCACATATCGGTCATTTTGATGGTGATATACAGGCCTCCATTAGCAGCAGACGAACGGTTCGTGGAAAAAATATCCACACCCATATCATGATGGTAGCATCGCTTGGACACCGAATCTTGCCATTATTCCCTCTATAGATGCCTTTGACGTGTCATCTTTTCTTCAAAACTACTGTGGGTGGTCTGAAGAACGCTTACGGAACAGGAAATCCGACAGTGGATATAAGCTTCATTGCTCTGGTCACATTTATGATGTCGTCATGGCTCTGTTAGGTAGGCTTACATGAATACTGCATTGTGTAACGTTTATTGATTAGATGAGTATGAAATATTTCTTCTGTTTTGTTAAAGTGATTTTTTCATCGGGAAGATGTGTGCAATTACCAGATTAATCTAATTCACCTAAATTTGTAAATACAAATAGTAAATATTATGTAATATTTGGTATTTTCAGAGTCAAGTCTTTTTTTTTTTTAGATTGACATTAGGATTTTTTACTGCTAGCTTTAGATTATAGTGGCTACTGGTTGAAGTACATAATTTGACTTGGTTATAAAATCAAGCATTTTTTGTAATACAATCCTTTGCTGCTTGTTTAATCATCATGTCATCATCATCATCGTTCCATCCATGTCCATGAACTTTCACCAACCATGCATATCTCATCAACATTTAACCCTCTGCTGTCACCAGATTGTATGTACAGTATATCAAATATTTTTTTTGGATTTTTTTTTTGTGCCTAAGAAACAAACAAGTATGTCTCACAGGCACTTGACGTTATACTTAAATATAACTCCATTCCTAAATTTTATTTATTTAGAATTACAGCAAATAAGAATGTTTTTGAAAACTTTGTTTACAATTTAAATTTTAGGTGATGATATGTGTTTTATCAAGGGAAAGTGTGTTCCTGAAACACGGCAGTCCAGTGATCCCTATATCCCATGGATTCTGGTTGAAAAGTCAGGACACATATTTTCAGCAGAATGCACATGTGTTGCATAAGTTTCAATTTCTTCTCACTTTTGAAATGTTATTTTCTTGATTGTGCTAAAAGTTTGATTAAATTTTAAGAGACTTCTGCTTTTAAGTTTTTTGTGAATATTAAATATGTGTATACAAGCAAAGTTGAAGTGAACTGATTTATTTTTATTCTACACAAAAATATAATTGTAAGAAATAATCTTAAACATGTTGTCGCCCTACTATTTGGCATTATTGATCACGTCACATCCATAGAAGACCGAAGTACCATTGGAGTCACAGATACTGCAGCATATTGGAATAAACCAAGAAAAGTATGCAGGCCAGTAGCTTTTCGTGACTTAGATATCAGGTATTGGCCATACTGTACTGAGTTCTCATCAAAGAATGCTGTTTGGTGGATGTATCATATTCAATTTAACACTGAGTTAATATTATTTGCCATGCATTGTTTCATGGATGGCTGTGCTGACAAATTGAATAACACACCTAAGATTGTTATGAAAATTTGTCAGCACAGCCACCTGTCTTTTGTAATGATACAATGCATGTCAAAAAGTATTAATTCATTGCTTTTATATATTTATCTTCTCAGATGAAAATGGACCATGTATATCTTTACATGTTTTAAAATAAAATATGACATGCAGCCAATCTGCCTTTGTATGCACTGTGTAGAATAGATGAATGGTGTTAATCTCCACCATAATGGAATATGACATCATGGCACAACAAACTTGAGCTAGTGCAGGGAAATATAGTTCTCTTTTGAGAAAAGAGAAATTATTTTATATCTTTTGTCATTTAGAATTATACTTTAACAACAGTAATAAGAAAATGAAGAAAAAAAGATGACTATATGAAAAACAATGCAAAAAATAACATAAATGTATTCATACATCATCTTTTATAAATTGTAATTTGGTTCTCATCCATGTTATTAAAAATTGAATATTATTAAATTTCGAATGTTAAGAGTTATTTATATAGATTAGAAGAAAAATACATGTGAAATGAAAAAAATAACAGTTTAGGTGTTTTTATATAAAACCCCTTTCCTTCATGACTGTCAATTTTTTTGCTTTCATTTTTTTGGTTTTTGTTTAAACCTTTTTTCACTTTTGAGGGTTACTTTTTCTTCAGAGGGGAATATCTTGAATCCACTTTCTATCTGTCTAATATGTATCGGTATATTTTAAAATCAAGTCAAAATCTCTCCTTCCCAATCTTACAACCATTTTGGAATATATGTAGTTATAATGTGCATTATCTAAGCATTTTAAACATTACTTATATATTTGATATTTCTAACGATTATAGGATTGACACGAATGTACCAGATAGACCACGGCCGTCGGAAGATTCTGGATATTTGCCACTTAAGTCATCAGCATTGGATTTAAAGTCTTTGGAGAAGAATATTGTTCAAGTTCTCAAAAAGAGCAATACACCAGCAGTGGCCTTGTATACATTGTCAGATTCTGATGATGACAATGATGTGTCTATGGGTATTGAGGACACACCTAAAAATATTATTGATTTAATGTCGATGCATGGTCAAGAAAATTTGAAAGTAGATGATTCTTATGTTAAAAAAGTAAATGAATTCACTAAAGGGCAATCCATCAACCTTATGTGGCAGTGCCAGAGTAAAGGTAGACTGACTGCTTCAAACTTCTTCAATGCCTATCACTACAGAGGTGATAAAACAGACAACTACATTGTAAGAAGTATTATGGGTCAGTATCATTTCACCTCAAAATCAGTCGAATACGGAAAACGAAATGAATCTGTCGCTCGAGAGAGATATGCTGATCACATGACAAGTTGTCACCCTTCATTCAAGTGTGCAGAGACTGGAATCTATGTTTACAAAGATTTCCCTTTCTTCGCTGCATCCCCTGATGGCATTTCTGAATGCAAGTGTTGTGGAAAAGGACTTGTTGAAATTAAGTGTCCTTACAGTTCAAGAAATGAAACATCTCAGGTTGCTATGTCAAAAAATTCATCATGTGCAATTGTCAATGGAAATTATGAATTGAAAAAGAGTCTGTCCTCCCCATTTTATGTCCAAATGCTTGGTCAAAATGGCAGTATGCAAGTTTTCACATTGTGATTTTGTTTTATTTACTCAAAAAGATATCTATGCAGAGAGAATTCATTTCTCAAAAGCAGATTGGGAATTGTTATCTGAAAAGCTTAAAAGTTTTTATATGCAGTACGTTTTGCCAAACTTGGTTTGAGTATATCATGTACATAGAATGTATCTTCATCACATATACCTTAGTCAGGTACCTTGAATATTGTAGATGTAATACTTTGCAGAATTGAAGGTGATGTACATGTATGTCACTTCAACTCATTTTCAATATTTTTTGTTCTGTCATAAGAAACTTTATCAAGTTCTTTGAATTTATTCATACACTCCATTTTACTTCATTATTTTTATAACATGTTCCAAACAATATTTCAATTTTTAAAACCACTCTACAGACTTTGACTGACTTCATTTTTGTACTCAATGACAGTATAAGTACAAAGCTGGATTGATTCAGATGTATGAAACTAGCAAGTTATCTACTAGCATAAATTTTATGCTGCATAAAAATGAATACTACTTTTATAATAAAAATGAACATAATTTGCCATGATACTAGTAAACAATTTCCCTCATTTAAATTTCTTTGACAAAGGTGGCATTAAGTTGCAAAATGCTGCTGCTACTCTAAGCATTGCAGATGACAAATTTTTCATTTTCAGAGGGAGAATGCCTCCTAACATGTTGAAAGATTTCAGTCTGCGGATGGCTCGTTCCACATGGATACGTAGTGAAGCAATTTTACGAGACTCAATAATCTGTTTTGATGTTAGCACTCTCCCTCTGCCATTTCTTCTCTCATTGGTGAAAGGCGGCATATTCAAATATGCTCCTTTCAGGGTAAGAAGATCTCTAATTTGGAATCCTCTGTCTGCCATGACCTCGTCCCCTGGGGAAATGAGGTCAATATATTTGCTGTCAACTGTAATTTTTCGGTCACTGACATTGCCACTCCAGAATTTGGAAACAAAAGTAAAAGCTCCATTTGGTTGAATAGCGACCAGTGCCTTAAAGGTGTTGTGGGACTTGTAATTACTCCAAGTACTTGCTTGTGCAGAACAATTTTTTTTGTTTTTGAATGAACACTTCTGTGCAGTCAATTTTTGATGTAGTATTGGAGTACTTGAGCTTAAATGATAATGGCATGTGTTTTCGAATCTTTTCACCATCTGGCCACTTAATAACAGGGTCTAGAATTTGAGCTAGGAAATTTATCCATGTGCTAAATAGGTTTGAGACATATCCAATTGACACATTAAACAAAACGGAAAGAGTTGTATTGTCTACACCAAGTCTTAGTTTCAACATGGTCTTGACAAACTCCTCCTTCATAGTGAGTTTTCTCTGTTTCCCTGGTTTTGTTTGAATCATTTCTTGCCACTTTTTGGATCCTGACCTCCCAGCTCCTTTCCAAAATGAAACTTTGTCATGAAAAGGGGCCAAAAACTGAAGAAAAAATGTGAGAAAACTAAGTGAAGGCAGTCCCAGAAAATGCTTGACGTTGTTATCATCATGTAGTATTTTCCCCATAAGGTTCTCCCGGAAATCAACTTTACGTGATTTGAGGGCTTGATTCTCCTCTTTTAGTTTCCTGTTTTCTTTCTCTAGCTTCTCACATCTAGCCTAGTATAAATTCAAACCTTCAGTATAAGTATCAATGGTTATTTGGTAGCTTAGAAATTGAAAATATATTTTAAAGATAGGTTTGTGTTGTAGTGTGAATGATTCATTCATGGTATTAGGGTTGAGAAAGGACAGCATTATAGACAAGTAATACATTTTGTCAGTGCCAACTCACCTCTAAAAGTGTAATTTACTCCAATAGATCATGTTCCCCACTATACTTCTTTTTTGGACTACAGCAGATATAAGGATGATCATGATGTACTTGTGTGTTTTGGCACTGAATGTCACATTCAAACTCTAAAGTAAACAAGGAAGTAGTTTTACAACATGAACACCCTGGTGAAGTATATGTTGAATATAGATAAATATACGGTAGAGGTAATCATAAATGTATTTGTTTAAAATATCTTATATATTAAGTTTTTATTCAACATACCTGGTTGACTTTTGTTGTTATTGTTGATATCCAGATAATCCGTGAATGGGATGTCCAATTCACCCACAACATAGGGATAGCATATCTGTGTTTTATCAGTATTTGGATCACATTTCACAAGTCTAACTTTTTTGGTTGGACAATCTTGACTTTTGGTGCTTGTTGAAGTTCTACCTAAGTTCGAGTTCTTCGTTTTTCTTGGGGTTGAATTTTTGTAATTATTATACGCAAACAGTTTTGGATAAGGGTTTTGTGGAGTTGGTAGGGTGTCTACAAAATGTTTTCAGCATACAACGTAATGCCGTATATCACTCGTTCTATCTACTCTCAACCCCTCCCTCCTTATTAAACTAAGCCACTTCCTCAGCTCACTCTCAACTTTTGGGAGCTGGTGAAAACTTAAATCCGTACTTGTCCTGCTATCGGCAGTGCAGCCAACAGCGATACAATGTCGCACAGGCATTTCAGAGTCATTGACTACGTCTAGAATGTTTGTCCCGGAAATCTCGCGAGATTTGTACCGTTTTCACACTCCGATTTTAAAGAGCGATCAAAGGGCAATAACTCTTTTTGAGTGGAAATGAAAAGTATTGATCTTATTCATTTCTAATTCAAATATTGCTTGTAAGTTTCATCATTTGTTTAGATAGCTTTCATATTTTATGAAATTGAGAACTTATTTTTTCAAATAATTATGTGTGCGTCAGTGATTTTTATTGCACCTTGATTTGGGTTTTTGGTCATTTAGAAAAATACAAGCTGTTGAACGTTGTCAATTTGATGCATAATATTGCATTTAGGGTAATTTCTCCTTCGGTTTTTCTCTTTGAAAGGTTTTCCATTAAAGGGGATTTAAGTTTTTATTTTTTTAAATTGAAATCACTATTCAATGGAGATGAACATGGAACTTGTATTTTGGTTTTTCATCATTTAAGAAA